GGTAGACTTGTATAAGAAAGCTGTAGGCGGTGTACTGTATGTTACAGTGATTTCTGCTAGCAAACTTTCTAGGAATAACTTGAAGGGAAGCCCCACAAAAAGACAACAGAGCTCAGTGGTAAATGGACATAAGGAAGATCACCTTGATGACAAAGATTTGAGGACCTTTGTGGAGGTTGAACTTGAAGAGTTGACCAGGAAAACAAATGAGCGACGAGGATCAAGTCCCAGCTGGGATTCAACATTTAATATGGTTCTACATGACAACTCAGGAGTTGTTAGGTTCAATCTTTATGAGTGCACTCCGGGTAGTGTAAAGTATGACTTCCTAACAAGCTGTGAAGTCAAGGTACACTTAATTTGTTATTCTTTCTTCCAACTTATAGAAATCATTTTATCTTTCAAATGCATGGGTTTGATGGGTTTCATGTGCTGGGATTGCATGCTATATTAACCAATGAAGAAGCATTATTTGGTAATTGTTAGACTTGTTTTATCCAAACATAACTATCTTCTGGTATGTACAATGTTAGTGGTTAAATCAAACTTGTTTTTCCAGCTGTGGACAAGGCTTTATTCTTCCATCCAGATACTTTTTTTTTTTGAAAAAAATAATTTTCTGAATAGTGAAAATTTTTTCTCAAAATGCATGGATTTTCTAGTCTCCAAAGGCAGCATATAACAAAAATTCACCATTGTGTTTCTGTTTGCAATCCATTAATGGAACAACATGAAAAATTACATCATGAATTACCACCCAAAAAAAAAAAAGAGAAAGAGAGTTCTTTATTTTAATCTTCACATCAATTCCATGTTAATGAAGTGTCTAATCTATTTCCACGAACATAGATAAGATATGTTGCGGATGACTCAACAATATTCTGGGCAACTGGTGCGGACTCCACCGTGATAGCGAAGCGTGCGGAGATTTGTGGAAAAGAAGTCGAGATGACTGTTCCTTTTGAGGGAATAAATTCTGGAGAGGTATGAACGTCTATGAGCTTTCTTGCGTGCTGGGGATGTTTTGAGTAATGTTAATTTATGCGTTCCACTATATTCACAAAATATGCATGTCTTAGCTTATTCCTCTGAGATAAAGCTATATTAGTGAGTGAAGGTCCTCAATTCGTGTTCACCTGCCTTTCCATTTTTTTTTCTTGAAACAATAATTGTATTGATAGTGTCAAATGTATACAATATCTGGACAAAGGTTCAATGAGCTATACAAAAGTGCACATTAGCACAGAAGAACAGAATTGATCCATTTTTTATTTTGACAAATTCTTAAAGCATAATTACTAAGAGATGTAGTGATATCATTTTTCAACTGCCTTGGCACATAAAGTGGAACTCACTCAATTAGATGCCTGAGACACCATGCCTTTGTTCTCGAGCTTTTTCTTGTTATTTTTAGTTTTGATCCTGGTTGGTCAGGGTTGAGGGGAGGGTGGGAAGGGTTGATAGGAGGATGTTGGCTATTTCATCCTCCTGCTCTGTGTCTATGTACTCCCCCCCCCCCTCCTCCTCCTCCTCTTCTTCTTTCTCTTTCCAAACTGCAAATATGTGCTCTGGTCTCTCCTTGAAAGCTTCAGTTTCACATCAATCAATTAAAGATAAATATGAGAGGAAATACATCAGCAACCAATTAAAGATAGCTTGAATAAACAGGATATACATCAGGAATTAAAGATAAAGACGAGACGCTTTTGGTAATGTGAAAGTTTGGGTCATCCTTCCACGAAGTTTAAATTCTTCCAATCATTGTCAAACAATTCTGAATGTGATGAATATACAGTACAATGTCAATCTCATATGTTGCAGTTTTCACTTATTTAAGTTGTTTTTTTTCCTCCTATTGTACTAACATCATATGAAATATCTTATTTAAAATACTGGACATGCCTAAAGGTTTCATTCTTTTAGCTCATCAAGCATGCACAAGATATAATTCTTGTTAAGATTTTCCTCAATAAGAGCATGAACTGACAGAGCTACTTTTTTGCTTGGAATGACATCTGCAGTTGAAAGTGAAACTTGTCTTGAAAGAATGGCATTTTTCTGATGGTTCACATAGCATGAATGGTTCAAGGATTGGCTCAAGGCAAGCACTCAATGGGTCATCAAAATTTCTTCCAACAACCGGAAGAAAAATTTATGTAACTGTTACAGAAGGAAAAAACCTTGTTGTGAAAGACAGACTTGGGAAGTCAGACCCTTTTGTTAAATTGCAGTACGGGAAGGTACAATCCTTTTCTCTGTTCCTTAATCAAGCCCTTCTAACCCTTGTTGGACTCAGTTACTCTCTGTATTTTAATAAAATTGTGATCCCTTTCTTGAAGAAAATACTATATCATTGATTGATTAAAAAGCAAATTTGATCATTGCACTATGCGAGGCACATGATGTTAACATCCACTAATGTAGACTACTGATACTAGAATTGTGATGGTGATAAATCTTCTTTTCAGGCAATTCGAAGAACTAGAACTGTCCCACATACTTCAGATCCTACTTGGAATCAGAAGTTTGAATTTGATGAAATAGGAGATGGAGAATATCTCAAAATAAAATGCTATAATGAAGAAACATTCAGAGAAGAAAGCATAGGTGGTGCTCGAGTAAATATGGAAGGCCTTGTTGAGGGATCAGCAAGGGATGTTTGGATCCCTCTTGAAAAAGTGAATTCCGGAGAGCTGCATCTTCATATAGAAGCAGTGAGAGTTGAGGTTAATGAAGGATCAAAGGTATGCCAAATTAAAATTTCAGCTTGTTCATGTTTCCAATTGTCAGATTTTTATTTTTGAAGCAAGACAACCATGGGACTCTGTTTTATTTAGGAGGATTACTGTGTGCCATGCATATTTTTTGTAGATGTACAATGCTCTTAAAATGTCAACATCTAGGCCAGATTTTGGAATAATGCTCCGTTGCTAGTAAAATGCTTCTACAATGCAAATCTTTGTAGATGTGCATTTTTAGAGCATTTATGTGATTATACATCTCTGGTTGCAATGTCATTGACTTCACTATATTCTCAGTTGCAATTGCATGACTTCAACTCGTATGTTTCCTAACTTTTCAACCACTTTTTGTGTTTTACCAGGGATTGCACAGATCTACAGACAATGGATTGGTTGAGCTTGTTCTTATTGAAGGAAGAGATCTCTTTGCTGCTGATCTGAGAGGAACAAGTGATCCATATGTGAGAGTACACTATGGAAACTTGAAGAGGAGGACTAAGGTTAGAAAATGTGTTATTTGCAAAATTGCTTTTCTTGTTAGTCTAGCTCTTTATTACCAATATGTGGTTTCTCTTTGGCTCTATGATTATAAATTGCTGACATTAGTGGTTTCCAACACCGCACGACTATGTTGTATGTACTGCAATGTACTCACAACTGTCTTCTACACTTACGGCAGTAAGAAAGGTTTTCAGATCCTTGTCCCATTCCCCAATTTTTAGATTGGTTGCAAAAACTACTGAATCTATTATATGTTATAGTCCTGAGGTGGACATACCAATCGCATTAATATTTGAATCCAAAAATACTAGTATTATATACTGTTTTATATTTCCGCATTGTTGAACTTGCTTTGTTCTGCTTTTGATTGCAGGTTGTGTATAAAACTCTAAATCCGCAATGGCATCAGACCTTTGAATTTCCTGATGATGGTAGTCCACTTGAGTTGCACGTCAAGGACCACAATGCTCTGCTGCCTACATCAAGCATAGGTGACTGCGTTGTAGAATACAAGAGATTACCTCCAAATCAGATGTCCGAAAAATGGATACCACTGCAGAATGTAAAAAATGGTGAGATCCATATTCAAGTAACTAGACGAGTTCCAGAATTAGACAAGAAGCCACCAGACTCTGAGTCGTTTTCAATTCAAGCACGCAAGCGAACTTCTAAACAGGTGAGAACCTCACGCATCTCTAACGCTTCTCTTACATTCCATTTCTCTTCCATGTTCCAGATAATTCGCCTTATACGCACTCTGAATCTTGCATGTACTGATGCAATTCTTTTATCAGATGAAGCAAAATATGATCAAGTTTCAGTCTTTGATAGAGGATGGCAATCTTGAAGGACTTTCAGCATCACTGAGTGAGCTGGAAACACTGCATGATGCTCAAGAAGAGTACATTTCCCAGGTTGAGATGGAGCAAATGCTTCTCCTGAACAAGATAAATGAACTTGGTCAGGAAGTCTTAAATTCCCCAGCTCCCTTGATTAGAAGAGCCACAATTCCTTGACGCTGATGTTAACTTTAGCAATGTAGTTAGAATCACGGGAAACCCGTAGTTGCTAATGCTAAGTATAGGGTCCTAAGAAAATTTTTTCAATCTGTATATTGTTTTACCACATGTATGTATGACTGAGAAATGCTTATTTTGCCCTGCAATGAAAATATGGCCTTAGATCCACCCCAGAACTTCATTTTTTTCCCCCTGATGTATACTAACTTTTCTTCTTAGATCAAGTGCACTGCTGGTTTGTTATGAATTCACTTTCAATCTTTCATAAAGCAAAACAATATACTGTTATAATTCCTGAAAGATCTGCAGATCACACTTCTCAGGCTTCAATATTCCAAAGAACTGATACAAAAACATGTATGCATATTACAAATTTATGAAGAGCTTGGAAGATAGCTTTTTCCGAAAAATGCATGTCACAGAATAGCACCAGAACATATTTAAAAAGTCGCATTTTCTTTATTAAGGCTATTACTCTTGTATAGTATCAATTCTAAATTTTTTTTCTTGGGTTTGGCATATTTTAGAAAGAAATCAAGCACATAAAACATCACTTCAAAATTCTTTTTCTTTCTAGTTTTACACGTGCAAAAAATTCTTTACTTCAAAGCCGATTAAATCTAATGATTCTGGTCCGACGTGTACAAACTGCCAGTGCCACGCAAGCAAGCAAAATATCTGAAAAAAAAAAAAAAATCCAAAAATCACACTATCAGTCTATCACAACCTTCGTCTCACCATAGCCAAAACTCCCTTCTCATCGTCTTCCTCCCTAAAACCTCATCTTCTCCGAGCTTCACATAAAATAAAACAAAACAATCCTGCTTTCTTCACTTTCAGAACTTCATTGCTATGCTGCCCGAAGAAGCTGAATTTGGTTCATAAATGGCCATGTCAACTGCGAAATTCTCAGAAATGCCACTGCCACTGCCACCCCACTTCTTCTCCTCCACTTCTAGGAAACCCTCTTTCTCTCTCTATTTCCTTAAACCCTTTTCCTCTTCTCTCCGGCCAACTGCCCCCGCTACCACCTCCGCCGCCAGAATTCCCAAAAAGCCTTTTCAAAACCCGGATACTGCGAGACCCACCACCAAACATTCTTCTTCTTGGTTGAATCAATGGCCCTCCTCCAACCTACTTCCTCCTGTTCATTACAAAAACCCCAAAACCCTCCAACCCGAAATCCAGGACTCCCGGGTCACTGGCGAACCGGGTCGACCCGTGACATCTGCAATCGACAGGATTGTGCTCCGGTTGAGGAACCTCGGGTTGGGTACGGATGATGACGAAGAGGAGGATGGCATTGAGGAACCCGGGTCGGCCTTAGTTCCGGGTCGGGTTGATGATGTGGGACGGGTAAATGGGGAGGAAAAGTTGGGGGATTTGTTGAAGAGGGATTGGGTCAGGCCAGACATGATGTTGGTTGAAGATGGGGAGGACGCAGATTCGACATTATTGCCGTGGGAAAAGGAGGAGTTGGCAGCTGCGGCGGAGGAGGGGGGTTTGGGGAAGAGGAGGACGCCAAAGGCGCCAACTTTGGCTGAGTTGACTATTGAAGATGGGGAGCTGAGGAGGTTGAGGAGAATGGGGATGACATTGAGGGAAAGGATAAATGTGGCTAAGGCAGGGGTAACAGGGGAAGTGTTGGAGAAGATTCACGATAAATGGAGGAAGAATGAGCTTGTTAGGTTGAAGTTTCATGAGTCTTTAGCTCATGATATGAAGACGGCTCATGAGATTGTTGAGGTTTGTATGGCGTAACGCCAATTCTTGGAATAATGTCAAATAAGCTTTGTGTTTAATTAGTGATGTGAATTTAATAAATGTTAGAATTGTTGTTCCCAAGTTTGTTGCTTTGGTTAAACTAATTGAAGTTGTCTGATGTAGGCTACATTAGAATGAGTTGAGATTTGTATTTGTGATTAAGTGTATCATACTTGATTTGGCGTAGGGTATGGATGACTCAAAGAGGTCTAAGAATTTAACCAGTGGTTGTGGTCAATGCGGATGATACTAGAATGTGTTTATCTGTGAACTAGCTAAACGAATTTTAAGTTGAGAGACAATAATAGGCCAGCTAGTTAACCTTCCTGATGCATGGAGAGAATGAATATGGAAATATAAGATCTGAGACAAAGGTCTTGATGTATAAATAGCCCAATCTTGTTAGAACAGGGATTTTTTAAAAGTGGGTATTGATGGAAAGAATGGAGCAAAGGTTAAGCCTAGGGCATCAATTGGAGATTGGAATGGGTAAGGAAATGCACTGAACTTGCAGAAGTAGGGTTGAACACAAGTAAGGAAGATAATAGAGATAAATGCTTGGCATCTAAGACTATCAGTCATATAGGAAAGCTTAAGGATCCTGTTCTGGTTAAGTTCTAGGAAGGAGTTTTTCAAGTTGATGAAGAGGAACTGACCGTAAACTGGACATTGATGCTATTCTTTTACCAAAAGAAACTGGGAGCTTGTCTAAAGTACCAAAATAAAATACTAGGTGGTCTTATGTTCAATTTTTTCTGGTTATCTTCACTTTTATTAGATATACTTAATTATAGCTCATCAACAGCCAAAGAATTTTTGGTAGCCAGCATGTCTAAGAACATACCTACAACATATACGCACATAGGTACATATACGTATTAGTGCTCGTTGGAAAGTGAATGCTCTTAATAATAAGTACTTAGCAAACTAATTTTTCTCACTCACTGTGTCAAACTTGTGTGATTTTTTTTTTTAGCTTTTCAATCTAAAAGGCAATTATTGCAAGTTATTGATGTACTGGCAGCTATTCGGGATTTAAAAAATGACTATCCAACAACTTATAAGGGAAATAGATTAGTAAAACAAAAGGAGATAGTGTATGGACAATTAGCCTGTGAAAGGTCTTGGATTTTGAACTACAATATTCATTATCAAAAAGTTAAAAGTAAAGATCTCATAGAGTTGTATACCAAGTTCCAGATTGTTGATTGGACTTTCAAGATGGAATTCGCCTCTGAGATAAGGACCAGATATAAGTAGCTATATTCCTTCTTTGCAGGACTCCAGCTCGTATAATTTAGCACACCAACATTTGTTCATTACTTCCTTAGTTCCATGCTGATAAATATGATGTTTGTTTATGATGCTTCTTCCTTAAGAGAGCAGATAATTTCAGGAATCAGCACACTGTTCTGTAGCTTAGATACAGAAGCAAAGAGTTCTTTTGGAAAGAACTGCTAATTTGGTGCTAATGTTGTTGTTTCTAATCCAGCGTCGAACCAGGGGACTAGTTATATGGAGGTCAGGAAGTGTGATGGTGGTCTACAGAGGGACTCATTATGAGGGGCCTTTATCACGATCCCAATCTGAGGGGGGAGAAGGTCAAACTCCTTTTGTCCCAAATGTTTCCCCTTCTGGTACTTCACTAGCCACAAAGAATGGCATTGTCTATCCTGTTCTGGAAAAGTCAAACCCAGCTGTCATTAATGGTGTTGAAAGCATGACGGAAGAGGAAATTGAATACAATAGTCTGCTAGATGGTTTAGGTCCACGGTTTGAAGATTGGTGGGGAACAGGAGTACATCCTGTTGATGCTGATTTACTTCCTCAGACAATTCCTGGTTATAAAACGCCTTTCCGGCTTATCCCTGTTGGAATGAGATCACATCTAACCAATGCAGAAATGACTAATTTACGAAAACTTGCTAAATCACTTCCTTGTCACTTTGCTCTTGGTAAAGATAAGCACCTTAAATCACTTTTTTCTGTAGTGTAGAATATAGATTTTTTTATTTTATTGATTATCTTCCATTGTATTTGTTAGGGAGGAATAGAAATCATCAAGGTTTAGCAGCTGCAATAATCAAGCTCTGGGAAAAAAGTTTAATTGTGAAAATTGCTGTGAAGCGTGGAATACAAAATACTAACAACAAATTGATGGCTGATGAGTTGAAGGTATGACACAAACTTTTTAGCTTGTTTAGTAATTTCGTGTCTTTTCTTTTGTGTTCCTTGCCTTTCCCTTTTCCTGAGCATCTTGTATAACTCGGTGTAAAATGGGTAAAGAAACACTATCCAAGATGGGTGAAACTAACTTAGCTTAAACTTGTACCATATCAAACAGGGGAAGGACAGTTTATAGAAAATTACTACCTCATTTTCTTCATGTTAGTATAGCACACCACTGGAACTGCTTCATGGTTCGATTTAATTTTTAACTATGGAAAAAATGGTTTAGTGATCAGCGTGCCATACATGTATAATTGATTGGGAAGGTAGAAAAAAATGGGTACTCTTTTGGAGATGGTCAATGTGAAAATTTTGGGGTATATTGACTGTTGAACTGGTTTGCAGAGTTTAACTGGAGGGGTTTTGCTGCTAAGAAACAAATATTACATAGTCATGTATAGGGGTAAAGATTTCCTGCCCCCAAGTGTAGCTACTGCTTTAGCAGAAAGACAGGAGATGACAAAACAATCACAAACTGTTGAAGAGGAAGCTAAGATTGGACCAAGCAACACAGCACCAGTGGGTCAGGGTGGAGAACTACTTGCTGGTACTTTGGCAGAGTTTTATGAGGCTCAAGCCAGGTGGGGAAGAGAAATATCTAGTCAAGACCGTGAGATGATGATAGAGGAAGCATCCAGAGCAAAGACAGCCAGGGTAGTCAAGCGACTGGAACATAAATTAGCCATTGTAAGTGTGCCATTCAAATATGGCATTTTTTTGAGAATGCATGTATCTGTCTCTGTCTTCAATTATCATTTTTTAATGGGACATCCGTGTCTTAGATCATGTTAGAACAAGGAAATGGGAAACTGCTATAGTAGAAGGTCAGAACAGAAAAGTTGATTTCCAATTCAAATGGGGCTTGGACCCAAATAAGAAAGACATCACTTGCTACATTTTGGAATAAGGTGACTGAAGTATGGGTGCTACTGGACTCGTGAATTTTGTTCTTGATTGCTGTTCAGGGATTTGTATTGTTGCTGACTGTTTATTGCAATCGTTAGCTCCTAGATTCTTTGAAGTTAGTTTAGCACATTAGTGGCTCTCTGTATCTATTGATAAAGGTTCTTGCATGTGTCCACAGGCCCAAGCCAAGAAGCTCAAAGCAGAGAGATTATTAGCTAAGATGGTGTCATCCTGGATTCCAGCTGATCCAGATGATGACCAGGAAACGATTACAGATGAGGAACGGGTTATGTTTCGTAGGGTTGGTTTAAGAATGAAGGCATACCTGCCGATTGGTGAGTTTTCATTCTCATCTAATTAACTCAACTAATATGCTTCCAATGCAAAATGAAAGTGGAAAATGCACAATCTGATTATGGTCTCTCCTAGGCATTCGTGGTGTCTTTGATGGTGTTATTGAGAACATGCATCTCCATTGGAAACATAGAGAACTAGTAAAGTTGTTATCGAAAGAAAAGGAACTTGCTTTTGTCGAAGAAACAGCAAGGCTATTGGAATATGAAAGTGGCGGCATACTAGTGGCAATAGAAAGAGTCCCAAAAGGTTATGTTCTTATATTCTATCGTGGAAAGAATTATCGAAGACCCATTAGCCTAAGGCCTAGAAATCTTTTGACAAAGGCAAAAGCTCTGAAGCGGAGAGTGGCTTTGCAACGCTACGAGGTTTTTCTTCCTCTTTATGTTTCTATTTCTTTTCTTTTTTTTGTGTTGATTTTACCAAATTATTCTCATGATATAGATTGTCAGGTACTAGTTGCATCTGAATGATTAATACACTTTTTCTGACTTTGTCTAACACTGTTCAACAGGCCCTTAGTCAGCATATTCGTGAAGTAGAGAACAATATAGAGCAGATAAAAGGAGAAATTGTAAGTTGTGATTTCATATTCAAATTCATGAAAACAGCTAGAGCTGCTAAACGCACTCACCTTTGTTTGGATTTTGTTGGTAATCTTCTATATTTTTCTTTTGTTCATTTCAAATTAGCTGAGTGTATGTCGCATTTGACTGCTTATAGGGTGATTCCAAAGAGAAGGAAAGCATTGGAGTCTCGAATTTGAAGGATCATACCCTGTCTGACCATTTCTCTGAGTTCGCTCATGTGAGTTACTCTATTTCGGACGTCGTGAATGTTTTGTATTTGCAAGGGGAATCCACTATTGGCCTCTGTTGTTTGAAGGATCATACCCTGTCTGAATTGTATTGTTTAAACATAATGCAGGGTGAAGGTGAGGCTTCTATGGAGGTTTCTGATGTTGATGAACGTGATGCTGATGAAGATGGAGACCTTGAGTGGGAGGATGATGAGGATTCTGATGTTTCTACTATGGAGGACTTTGATTAGGCATCAAGTGTGGATTCCCTTAATTCTTTCAAGCGGCATCAAGTGAGAGGAGGCAATCTGGGAACTCTCCTGTTGAGGTAATCCATGGATTTGAAGTTTCTCAGTCTATATTTGGTTAGCTGAGAAATTAAATAGGTTCTTTTCGAAGATGGACTGGTTGTACATGTTACTCCATAGTGCTTGTGTGGATAAAACAGTGTCTTTTATCATACAAGTAGTTCCTGTTAGCCATCATGCTGCAGGTTTAACAATGAATATAATCTTTGTCATGCATTACCATCTATTGGAAGCATTGGCTTCTGCAATACTGAAGTCATGATCATTAGACACCTCTTGGATAAGGAGGAAATTTGATGATAAAAAAGAAAATAAATTTTGATCAACAAGTGGAACAGAAGATAGTGTTTAACTAGAGCCATTCGTATATTTATTGTCCTTTATGTATAGATTTCTACTTGTGTACTGCCTGTCACATGAGGTACTAATCTTCAAACTTGAATCGTTTATGCATGAGTTACAGTTGCCAGTATATGCTTGAAAGCTCCAACTTTTTCAAATTGCTTGCATGAGTGTGACTATGATGGAATCATCATGAAAAAAATTTCAGGGCATCTATAGCACTTTCTTGGTGGTGGTAAACTAACTTGTTTTATGCAGTTATAAAACTCACTTGTTTCTTCATTGCAGGTTGATGTACAGAACATCCTTGTATCGCATCCTTGGTGGTGGTAAACTAACGCGTCCAAGATAACTGAGAATGTTGGAATGACAGCTGATCCAATGTTGAGAAAGTCATCATGATAGCGAAGTTATTCTAAATGAAGGGTTCTGATGCCATTATATTTAGCAATGAATGCTAATCCTGTATGTACTGTACAAGTGCTATTTGTCTCAAAATTTTCTTGTGGAGGTAATTTGTCCTCCAACCTCAATTTTGAAATAATCTTGTCACAGCCAAATCTTATGGAGGTTCCACCTGCATGGTTTTGGAATTGATGACATCATAAATGCATCGTTCCTTAGATTGTAAATTCCATTAGTGAATACATTGGCATTGTAATCACTTTCCATCTTCATAATTACATGAGAGAAACTTCCATTTGAATGATTAGAGCTGTTTTAATTCAGGATTGTTAAGAGTCTTAGTGGATAGTGAACAGACGTCCAGATGTTACCGTTAAGTCGGTACTATGATCGTCTGGAACTTAATATATATGCATTCGGGAGTTTAGAGAAAAATATTGAGGTGAAAGAAAAGTGTGAGAACATCGAAGAGTGAGAGCAGGACAATGAAAATCAGAATGGATAAATAAGATTATGCGAAACAAGTCAGATGGAGAGGATGATGATTTAATGAATGTCTCAGCCATTTGCTGTAAAAATGGACCTTGGGGCAGGAATGGTCATTCTGAATCTCTGATGACTGTCCTTCAAAGGTTCATGATCATAATTGGCTTAAAAAAAAAATTCTGAGGCTCAAATGATTACATGTGCATCATTTTTACACACTATGTAAGATTCACAAAAATTTGTTCTATCTTTAATTTGTGTTCAAAGTGAATTAAAACCTGAAAACATGAATGTACATCTTGTGAAATTACATAAAAATCAGCAGAAACAGTTGACCTGAAAACCATTTATGTCCTTGTCCATAAAAATGTAATAACTTTTTCTGATGCATAAAATAAGACAAAATGAAACGATAATATACATATGCCAGACATTTGACAACAGCATTGTTTCTCCATGCCATATATTGATTGATAAATAGCCTAACGAACAGCTAGAGACGCCACTAGTTGGCAAAATCACAAAGAGCACGATCTAATGCTTCTATCAAGAAAGCTCTTATGGACGCAGCATTTGCTGCAACTGCAACACTTGATTCCTCTGTTCCGGAGGCAGCTGGTTAATCTGCTCTGGAGTGAGGCTCATGACCTGTTGAAGTAAGGCCTTTTCCATCTCAGGCGTCAACTGCACAATCATCACCAGTATATATTAGTGCCTTCAAAAAGGGTGGCGCAACCATGTTTGACCAAAACTCATGCACAAAATGAAATTCAAAAAGGCTGGATAAGCTACCGAAGGAGGTCGAGGCTGCTGATTGCCTGGGCCCATTTGGCCAGGGAATTGTGGTGGTCCTGAAAGCTGTGCCGCAGAAGCACTCTCTTGTTTCATTCCAGGAATCCAAGGAGATCCCCTATCAGCTTGATTGGAGCTTGCAATTTGATTGAAGTCCGTCCCTAATTGTGAGCTTCCAACCTATAAACGTTCAAGGATAAAGTATCAGGAAGCGATGCAGCATCTCCTTTGTCAAAACCTAAGAATTGCATTAACTGCAAAAATGTGGTGGGCAAATTTAACTTTTTCAAGTGATTGATAGTGAACAAATTACTAAAACCCAGGCATCGAAATGAAACCACTGTACAAAGCATGTCAACCCAGAAAATCGAGCATCAAAAGCTGTACCTGATATGGTGGCTGTAATGGGGCCTGAATTGGATGTGGAGGTTGTCCCTGCAGAAATGAATGCCCAGGTCCAGCTGGAGGTCTTGTGCCTGACTGAGATTAAAAACATCAGACAAGTTAAGCTTTTAGAAACTAAGATTCTTTTTAAGTAAGACATCAAAAACTAAGTTTCTTTAACCTCAAAACATAAGTTCCCAACTTACATGATAGACAGGTTGGGAAGGATGCAGCTGAGGTGCACTAGAATGCTGAAAACCCACGTTTAATCCCATCTGGGATTGACCTTGATGAGGGAACCCGGGCATTGGAGGCCTTTGTTGTGTTGGTAATGGAGGTTGTAGTGGGGGAAGATGTGATACGCTAGTAGTCTGCATTGGCTGCTGCAGCTGGTTAGAGGCTGAGGGAATCGGTGCTTGTAGGTGTGAAGGTGGCTGAGCAGCAGCATGATGTGGAAGATGAGACATATTAGGTAGTTGAGAGGATTGACGTATGGGCATTTGTGTCGGTTGGGTAGCAATATGTCCCTTTGGCTGCTGTGTGGACTGTGAGGGATGTGATGGAAAGGATGGAGGTTGAAGATTTGAAGGAAGAACAGAAGCTGAAGATACTGTAGTTGCTGGCAGGTTCTGCTCCTGCTTTATATTTGGCTCCTGCTTTATTGTTGGTCCTGGAACTGGTGAAGAAGTCTGGATATTTGACTGCTGAATCGGTGATTTTGATGGCTGAGGATTTTGTGATGCTGCTGGCTGGACATTTGGGATCTAGAAGCAATGAAATGATCACTAAAACGCAGCACAGTTATATTATGTCAAAAAGTATAATTTGAACAAGATTCCAAAAACAAGCAAATAAACAAACAAAACACATACCGCTTGTGGGGGCTGCACCATTCCAAGCATAATTTGTGCCTGAAAAAGAACTTTGTCAATAGCAAAACAGGCAGCTTAACAGACAATCCATGACTTTCAATATCAAATACTAAACAAATTCAACCAAGCATCAATACAAGTTGAGTTCTAACTCCATTAAATTCAGCTAAATGAAAATGACCGAAAAGAACTATCTTGCTGGATAATGCTCCGTGAAGAGCTTCTCAGATTGTTTTAGAAAATGACCAGGACTTATATTTTCTTTGCTAGGTCCTAACCTCCAAGCTATCAAATCTTGGCCTAAAGCAAAACTAGTGATATCTATTCCCTCAAAAGAAAAAAAAAAGAATTGGTGATATCTATACTAGTACATGATGACAGTCCTCAAGAGGCTGGCATCCTGTCCACCACCTACCATCCAAAAAGGAAAAGAAAAATGTTTCCATAATTTACAAGGGGAAGTACATTTGCATAGTAGAGAAGCTAGACCGGAAGGTGAATACAATTGAACATTTTGAACTTCAAAGACCATGATCTTTTTAGAGAATATGTTGTAGCTAGAGTCCCACAAAAGAAAAAAAGCAATTACCTCACTTGTGACTAAAGTCTCTACAAAATTTTAGTATCCAGTAAGTTGGATAAGAACTTCAAAATAGTCTAAATTTGTAACACTAATATCACCATGACTTTATAGACACCAATTAATGACACAAAAATATAAATCTCATGGTAGCGGAAGGAGAGTAGAGATTAGCTAAAGGTGAAAGCCAGAATTGAAATTAGCCACGGTACAGGTAAAGTATCTAAGGCCAACTAAACCGCCAAGCTCAAGTTTACATAAAGATATCAGGACTGTTAACTAAGAAAAGAGCGGCAAAATTATAATAACCTGAAGCTAATGAAAACAAACAACTCACTTAATACCTTAATCCACACATTTTCCCGTCCTAAATAGTTCTTTCAAAACCTAAATTCTAACTTGCAGGAACCATTTCACAATCCTAGAAGACGGTTACTATCAATCATGTAGTAATTTTTATATTTTTCTCAGGGGATGAGTAGAACATACAGTTCCTCCCAAAAAAGAAGGGGAAAAATCTTTCCAGATATACTTCTAAGGCTCCGTTTTGTGGAAAAAAAATAATAATAATAAATTGACCTGTTAACAACCTATTTCAGAGAAGCAATTGCAGAGCCAAAACGCTAAAACCCACTGTCAAACAAAAACTGCCTACCCCCAATTTACGCAAACAGTGATTCTGCAACCACTGACTATCAAGAATCCAATTTGACAAAACGCTGCCCCAAAATGGCCCTTGCTCTTAGATTCACAGATTACCGTGAAAAGACTAAACTTTTTTTTCCATAAAAGCTATTCCCAGTTTCTACAGTGATATTCAAGGATATAACAGTTCACTTTCAATCTTTAACCCTACGAACAGTGATCTGGACCCCAAAACGAATTTTTTTTTTAAATAACACTCAAAAAATAAGACACAATGATACCCAACAGACAAAACTTTTATATTAAAAAATGTTCAAATTAATCAGTACCTGAAAGAGGGCTCTAGTGAGAACCGGATTTTGGATTAGGATTTGTCTCGCTTGTTGCTGGTTCTGTTCAATTAATTGCTGCAGAAATTTAAAAAAAAATCCCGTTACCAAAAATCAATAAAAAAATAAAATTCTATCCAAAGAATTTTTCTGTAATGAAAGAAAATCCAAAAAGCAATTCAAGATTCAGTTCATCCAAGACTCAGTTCATGATATGTTTAGAGAAAGAGCAAATCTTTTCTTTTTTCTTTTACCTTCATCTGAGACATTATATCATAAAGTTGATTCTTCGACATTCCGGCGAGGTTCGCCGATATGCCGTCGCCGGGCACCTGCTTTCCCGCCATTGACAAGGCAGTGATATCGGTTTTCCCTTTCTGTTCGCCTTTTTCTTCTGTTTCGTTCTTTGAGTAAGTGCGATTGAGGAAGAGGAGACTGAATAGGGATGGTAATAATGGGTTGTATATTTAATCTAGGCCTGTTTTGTCCTGTGAAAGTAAATGTCCACAACTTATAAGCCCATCAGTTAAGGGCTCGGGCCCATATTAAATTGAACTAGAGCCTACTGGACCATAATTAGCGGATTTTGGGCTGTTTCATTTCTTCTGGAGCCAACTCGATTGCATTAAAATATTAAATTCTCATGTTTAATTCTCAGGCATTTTTTTTTTTTTTACACTTAAGGGACAAAAAAAAAAGACAAATCTAGAGGTTAGATTTTTTTTTTCTCTTGACTTGTCGTTTGCTACTTTGTCTTTAGACTATGTTATTGTATCAGTAATAATTGAAACAATACTAAACCAAATCAAACTTTTTCAACCCCAATACTTGAAAACTAGCATTGCAATACTTTTTGAACAATGAATGGAATATGGATGCGACCCCCATTGAAATGGAGCAGCTGAAATACTGAAGATGAAAATCATTGAATTGTCAGTTTTATGTATTGTTTTTATCTCCCGACACCATTGAGAGACTTTAGTAAGTTTCTTGATTGGCTGTAATTGATAAGAAATAGGGAGAAAGTGGTCAAGAAAAGATTAAGAGTGCCAGCATACTCAAAGGGTGCATTTCCAGCCTTTGGTGCACGGATGGAAAAAAAAAAAAGGAAAAAAATTTAGTCTCCCTTTTAATAGATAATTCTTACAGATGAAATGATAGTATGATATCGGACAAAGGGCCACGACTATCAAGGAAGGAATCAAATGAGAAGATTCATATCCCAGATCAATTGAGTCTAAAAGACCCTTTTATCTCGTTGATGAAAATGTAAAAGACCCTTTTTGTGATGGAGTTTTTTAACTCCTGTACTTTGAATGCATGATCTTCATCTAAATATGGTCGTGAAATCTTGTTAAGACCATGTTAATCACGCCCATGCAACATTGGCTTCTTCGAAAGCATGATTCATGATTTCATACGGTTCATAGAATCTATATGGGACTCTGCATGAGAAGGAGAATTATATATACTGCATAACTTTAAGTCGACAAATAGTTTGGAGTTTCATGTTAATGGGTTCTTACACTTTACAATGGAAATTGACGATTGAGGATGCTTGATCTTCTGACGAAAATAAGTACAACAATGACTAGGGATTTTCCCCAGTTCATCACTTCTTGACCTAAGTAGACTGCACATATTATTAACGCTATCGAACTTATTCAACGTATGATCCACCTTTTTCTTGATGCCTTGCCAGTTGCAATAATCGTCTTGGATCCACGGAGCATCGGATACGATAATAAACTAACCAACACTAATTTTACAAGCAGTTAGTCAGTTAGGCACCTCACCAAATGTTGGAGTCCAAATTAAATGGTTGCTCCTGCGATTGTTGCTGCACAGAATGATGATCTAAAACCCTATTAGACGAGGAAGAAGCCGCCAGATGCGAGCTAAAATCATTTCCAAACTGATTAGAAATCATCCCTTGTGGCATAAATGAGTAATCGGTACTGGCTGTTGTTGCTTCCCTGGGCTGATAATTCCTCATCTGCAGCGCCCTCAGAAGCAAAGGGGCACTCATTGCAAGATTAGCAGTACTTAGTAAGCTAGGAGAAGGCCAAGAAGAGAGTGATGGGAGAGCATTTGCTGCATCTCTTATTGCTGCCCAGTTGATAGCATTGTTGAGATTGTCAGTGGAGAAAGTTTGTGGAGAAATGTTGCTGAAGATCCCATTTGCTGAATTAACTGCTAAGGTACTAAAATTTGGAAGCTCGATATCTCCTAATTCATTTGCAAATGTGTTGGTATCACAAGGAGATTCTAGTGATTGTGGTGAGGATGGTGCTGCTTGTGGTTTCTTCACTGTTGCACTCTTCTGGAAAACCCTACAAACCACCCATTCCTCCTGTGCAAAACATATTTGTAGATATTAGCTGTATACAGATTAACTCAATATAAACATAGTTGTAACTAATTATAAGCAAACACTTTAAAAAAATTTGTAATTAAGCATGCACTTAACTAATTATAGTTGTAACTCACTTAAAAGAACTTGTAATTGCTAGACGCTTATAAGCAAGCACTTTAACTAATTATACTTGTAACTCACTTAAAAAAGAGTTGTAACTACTAGAAGCCAATCAAATAAGCTAGATTTTTGTGCCCTAGCCTTTCTGCACAAGATCAGGTCAGGATGCATGAATGAAATGTAAAGGCATTTATGGATCACATCTTTAATTGAACAATAGATGCATCAAATGACTTGTATATTATATATATATATATATATATATATATATATATATATATATATATATATATATAATTTGTACATAATAGAAAAAGGAATGCTCAATGATGAATATATGGAACTTTATTCTTCTTGGTTTTGGCCTAATGAGTGTAGTTCTCTATTACTACCCAAAGAAAAAAAAAAGAAAAAAGAAGTATAATACTTTATTTCACTAAGGAAATTAAATAGCCGAGTTACCTTTGAAGTTTTGAATGCGAGCTTGGTTTCTAGTCTATATTCATGCATGACCCAGTTGGTTTTCTCACCCTTGGGAGCTCTACCTCTGTAGAAGACAAGGGTTTTCTTCATTCCAACCAAAACACCACCACGAAAGATCTCCTTGTCCTTTCCTGTTGTTTTCCAATAGCCAGCTTCTGTAGCTCGATTGGTCCGCATTCCTGTTGGGTATTTTCGGTCTCTCAAGCTAAAGAAATACCATTCTTTTTCTCCCATGGAGGCTTTGGCTGTACAACATTTAAACCATGCAAACCAAATCCTTAATTTGTGTATATCCTTAATTTGTGAAAGGCAACTAACTATGAATTAGCCTACATGGGTACTTGTAGTATCAATTACAATGCATTTTATATCTCATTTCGTTTGCACAAAGTAGCAGGTGACTAAGTATAAGTTGTTTACATTTTCTGTAACACAATTCCTTGTCTCAAATTTAAACCGTAGGACCTTTACCCACTATCATCACAAAAAAAAAAATGTAAAGAATTACGAATGAAGGTAAGGCCAAGAACGCTAGGAAGCAAGAAGAGTGTCAGCTTCTATATGATTATCATTTTACACATAGAATTAGAAGTCAAACTTGTCCCACCTTTTTTTTTTCAAAAAGAAGGTTAAACAACAAGAAAAAAAAAATTAACAAAGCAGTTTTTGTAAAATATAATTACGCTTTGAAACACAAAATGCCTTCAAAAATGAAAGAAATTCCTTTGACATTTTCTTTCTCTTGCGTGTACAAGTACGCATACTATTATGCACCAGGATTTCCATCGTTTGACGATGGAATACCATTCAAAAGCTAAGATACGAACAAATATGTTTCAAGAGGGAAAAAAGGTGCCAATGACACAACATGCAGAAAATTAGATACAACTAGTTAAAAGAACAATCACTAACAAGAATAAATAACTCATAGTAATCTCAGAATTAGTTCCAAAGGGATGAAAAGGGTGAAAGACATGAAATACTGCAATTGTCTTGCATTCAACTATTAGACAAATGATTTTATTCTTTCAAATTTGAGAATTGGGGAAAATTAAGTTCTTTTGATTGAGCAAAGGAAACTACTAAACCCTAGCATATTTGGCTACCTGGGAGGTCCCATGGCTCAGACTTGTTGAGATCAACATCAGTGATCGCTTTTGAGGTGAAACCAAAATCAGAAACCTTGTTGGAAAGATAATAAGTTATGAGCTCTTCATCAGTAGGATGGAACCTGAACCCCGGAGGAAGATTTTCCTCCATTTTCTGCCTCCTAGAGAGCTACTAAAAAGAGACCTGTCAGAATCTGCTTTCTTGAAAGCAGTGATGAAAAATGGAAAATTTAACCAAGTACGGATGCAGGAGGGGTCGGGTATTAATGGTGCCAGCCTCCGACTTTGTCTTCTATACCGTCATCCTTCAAGAAGAAGCAGCTATTCTTAGTCTTTCTTTATTCTGATTATTACAGCTAACATATTGACAAAGATAGTCCAGGAAGATTTTAGATTTTCTATTCTATTGAAATTACAGTTTTGCCACTTGCTGAGGTGAGCTAAGATGTCCCATTTCCTTATCTGCCATTAGAATTTAGAACTTCGTATTGTCTCCAATAATTGAAATATGGGATATAACTTAGAAGCAATTACCACTAACTGACTGCATCAGCAGAAATTCATGAATAAATGGCAACTTTTGTAACCATAATTTAAAATGTGCCCTGTAATGTATATGCATCAGCTGTGTAAAATTTAACAGAATCTGCAAATGAAACTATTAAATGCACTCAATATTAGTCCATATCTTGAATAACCCATGATCCATCCTCTTCTTCTTCTTCTTCTTCTTTTTTTTTAAATTATGGCATATCATATCCTAAGTTTGTCATTTACTTTGTGTACTTTGTGATTAGATGAGTGACGATTACTTTGTGTACTTTGTGATTAGATGAGTGACGATTAATTTAGGCTGCAGGGTTGAGTCAGTGTTACATCTAATAGCAGATATTATTCTTCCATAGCATGTCCAACCACCTTCACCCATTTCTACCCACCAAAAAGTCCGCCTGACCTCATCTCTCCCTCCAATGGGAACAAGGCCGGGCTTCTCTATCAATTCTTAATACACAACAATTAGCAGCCACTTGGCATTTTCCTAAGTACCTATTAGTGTGTGCTTTGTGCACGTGTATGTTGGTGTGAGATGTGGGTCGTAGAATTGATGATCATGAGCAGAGATCATAGTATGAATGGGGCCCTTTGGTAAGCTGGCCTTAAAGAAATTTCTTAACGAATTTAATGATTGATTAGGGGTACGTACCTAGGGAGAGAGAGTTGAGTAAAGATATTAATCTCTTTTGCTACAATCTTTTGTCTTTTGGATGAATGGTTCAAATGGGATATACATCTGATCACATCATTTGTGAATTGTCAAAAGTCATAATATAATGAACTCTAGCTCTATGGGCATTGCATGGTACAACAATCTTGAATTTTGGTTCACTACGAGGATTATCATCTCTAGCCCTCTACATTGTTTGCATACATGGGATCGATGACCAAACGTTATTCAGCGACTACCAAGAAAAGCCATCATGATGATGGTGATTAATCATATGCATCAAAGAAACAAGTTAAAACTATCCCAGGAACCTAAGGTAGATTAGTTCGCACCAAATCAAATCTTTTGATATAGGGGGCAAAGGTTATTTGAAGTAAGAGTGGTTAAAAATGTTCACCAAACCACAAGACTGTATCTAATGCGTCAGTCTTGATTTCAAAGATTTCTATGGTTGCTACTTCAAGCCTTCACATTTTCAATCCTAACAAGAACTTTCATGTACTTCATCTTTAACCCTCCAACACAACCCCCCCCCTCTCCTCTCCTCTCTCTCTCTCTCTCTCTCTCTCTCACACACACACACACACACACTCTCACCTGAGACAGCACACATACTTAGAGACTCTTTGAGAGACGAAGGACACGTCCAACGCACACATACATAGTTCAGGGTAATTGAGTTTGTTAGTAAGTGTGAAAGTTACAACAAATTAAATTACAAATTAAGGGCTTATCTTTTGAAGTCTTGAGGTTTAAGATTTACTATTGCTAGAAACATACATTGGAGTGGGTTAGTGAACTTCCGAAAGCAAATGTGAATTGAATCTTTGATTTGGTCCTTTGTGGTTGTGACCTTAATGTCTTCATTATCGTTTTATGGATCGACCAAAGAGCTTCTAGAAATGTACGCACCCCCCATGCACAGTAGCTTTCGGGACACGTACACACAAGTTGCTTCGCAGAGTATAGGGTTTCTTGCAACTGTCAAGTGCGAATAATGCGAATGTGGCAACTTCATTTGAAAATGACAAGCTTGAGCGTTTTCTATTCAAGAAAGTAAAGCCAAACACTTGATACTATAGTAAACTTCCTGGTGCGATCATATGAAGGGAAATTTCACGTACACCTGGCCTTTATACTTTGCACTTCTTGCTAGCATATAATTAAGTATTGAGATGAGATGTTAAACTGAAGAGAAATTGTGAAATGTGCTTTGCCAACTCAAAGAAAGGAACTTATTCTGGCAACCAAAATAGGAGCAGAATTTTTTTTTTTTTTATGACAATTATGTGCAAATGAGCACAAGAATGATTAGGCAATTCGCTAGTAATGTAATTTGATAATCTTTCTTGATTGAAGTTTAGAAGAATGAAGTATAATATTTCACTATTTTATATGATTTTAGTAGAATTACAAAAAAAAAATTTCTCTACTCTGAGTGAAAGTGATTTTTTTAAGAATTACTTTTCTATGCACTGACAGTATATACACTTTTACCATTAGACGCATGATACATAATCCAAATTTGAATTTAAAACTCAAATTTTGCATATATATCGTACATTAGACCGTGACAGTGTATGTAAAATTTACTCTTTTCTTAAATACTAATTACGTCTCGAGTTACAAAAAGTGTGATTAAGATGGAGTTTCAAGATTTTGTGGCAGTGTTGAAACCTGAAGGAATAAAATAATAGCAGAGGCAAAGCGTAGGGAAAATTTTACATGTACCTACGCGAGGGCTAGGAAAGATTTCTGGAAGGGATTTGGTAGGTGGGCCAACGAGTTTTAAATCAACAAGGGCTGGGCTACATTAGTCACCAAACTCGGACTCTCCGTACCAAAGGAACAGGCCCAGGCCTTACAAGTGTACCCGGCCTATGTCGAGCCGAATCCAGGTCACCAAGAGACGACGGGTTTGTCCGTTGGAGGATGGGTATGATATTTGCTTCAACAGCACCAATACATAAACCAAGATAAAATGGCGGTGAAGACAGCAGGTGTAATAAAGAGACATCTCAATTCACAATCCACCTCAGTTGAACCAAACATCTAAAAGAAGAGGAAATGGATTATGTTAAGTTCTTGACACTGAAATGCAAGTCTAGTTCTTAAGATACCTGTAATCAATAAGTCACGGATTCGAGTCATTGAGGGTAAGTACTGTTAATTCTCTTTATATAAAAAAAAAAAAAAAAAAAAGGTCTTGATGTCAATACAAATTTAAGATCCTAATGATGGAATCAAATTGTAACAAAATAGAAAATACTAACAAATTACAAATCAATGAAAACCGAACTTACCAACAAATGAATATAATTACGAATTAAGTTTTTAACCACTGTCAATATACTGAATGCTTTACGCTAACAAATGTAAAATGTATGCAACCGACGCAAAAAGTGAATTTCAAATTTAAAATTAAATTACATGATATACATTTACATTGGCTCGTATATACATTGATAGTACATAAAAAAAATGACTCATTAATCAGTAGAAACTTACGTGTACAGTGAGATCCTAAAATCATAATCTCTAATTTTTTGTACTTCCACCTCATCGTTCTGTCACTAAATTAAAGCTCCAGGATCTATATTATAATCGCTTTTATAAGAAGTGAAATACTTGATCAAATATCATCCAACAAATGCAACAAATTAATTGCATCTCCAATTCATTAAAGTTGATTGGCATGTGTTTTTAACGTGTAAAGCTTTCTTTTACGTACCAAGATCTGGCCAAGTATAGGTCTAGGTCGTGTTGGGAAACCCATAACCTTTTGGTCCTTTTCCCTTCCAATTTTCCAATTGCTATTTTCTTCAATTTTCCTGCAGGCCGGCACCTGAGAAGATCCTCTGATTGTTGACCTTTTCAAATTAATAATGAATTTTGAGGGTCTCATCTCATATATCCACTGGGACAAAAATCTTAGTAGAAAGCACATCCACTAAACCTTAGTGGCCAAGTTAAAGACAAGGGATGATTATTAACAAAAGATTCATGGGAAAACTTCAAAATGACAAAAGCACCCTTCAGCTACTATTATGGCCCTTCCTTCCACAAAGATGCAAAGAATAAACTTACCCAACACAGTCCATTAATCCCATCAAACGTAGAAGCTGTTTTCTATTATATATACCCTACGATTTTGAAACTAATATTTCTAAACAACGAAAACCATGGGTAGCACTTAGTATTTTAACATTTCTTTTAGAAAGAACAAGTCGTCGGACATGTTTCCAGATGCGTGTGGCTAAGGTTAATTTTGTTCTCTTCTTTTCATTTTTGTTTTTATTATGCTTTTTTTTTTTTTTTAATTGTCGGATAGCATATTGCTTTTCTTATTGCCTTTAAATTTCTCTTTTCACAAATAAATTAGCAGCTATAATACAAAAATTTTGTACTTTCAATGCAACGTATTATTATTTTTCTTTCTCTGATAAAACAGCTGCTGCAAGTGTAGAGCCAAAGTGGGCTTCTCACGCAGTCTTAGCACGTGCTGCGTGGACCTCTGGCAAAAATTAAGGCCTTGCTTGGATTGCTGTTTTCCATAGAAAAATTTTGTCATTTTCCGTGAACACATTTCCCTATTAGCTTTTTTCCTCACATACATCAAATCGTTACAGTAATTTTTCCATGAAAAATGACGGAAAATGCAATCCAAACGGGACCTTAATTTTCTTCCTGATTCTTTGATTAGACAGGGAAATTAAAATTTACCTTAGCCTTACAATACTCAGGCCGATATTTAACCATTTAGCAAGCGGTGAAAAAGAGCCTTAATTTGCTCCCAGAATTTTGATTTAGTTACACTTTGCAATTTATATCAAGTTCCCCTAGCTCTGGTCCTTGATATATTTAAAATACTTTGGTACGCTAGTATTGCTAATTATTAGTAAACGTCGACTAAACTGAAGGTTAAAGAAAAATCAAATCATATAATTAATGTGATAT